TGTAATATATAACGAGTTGAAGCAGGTTTAAAGCTATCGGTAAGCAGCTAGAAGTAACATGTTGTAATATATAACGAGTTGAAGCAGGTTTAAAACTATCGGTAAGCAGCTAGAAGTAACATGTTGTAATATATAACGAGTTGAAGCAGGTTTAAAACTATCGGTAGCAGCTAGAGGTAACATTTGGTAATCTTCACTTTTGTTGTTACAAAGTAATCAATCTTCCAGCTTATTGTAGAGTACAATCTGTATTAATACAATCACATAACTTGACTAGAATTGACAAGATCAAAAATGATATTCCAATCATAAAGGCTAGATAGTATTGAGTAATGGAGCTGAACCAGGTAAGCGTTACCGAAAATCAAATTAACGAATTACAAACTAACGCACACTGTTGAAGTTTTGGAATAATGTCTCTTTGTTTGTTACGGATTTCGCGCAAAGCTACACGAGAGCTATCTGCGCTAGCCGTCCCTAATTGAGCAGTGTAAGACTAGAGGGAAAACAGCTAGTCATCACCACCCACCGCCAGCTCTTGGGCTACGCTTTTACCAAGGAATAGTGGGATTGACCGTAACATTATAACGCCCACACGCCTGAAAGGGCGAGCATGTTTGGTGTGACAGATTGCGAGTTGAGCGCCCTAACCACCTGGCCAGGCCCGGGCCCTTGAAATAATGGACTACAGAAGCATGTGTTACATAGAAAATTAAGAAGAAAGAACACTGTTAACATTTGAGATACATAAACAGCACAGGTTAAACAACAAGCAAGAGCCTCACAGTTGATTCAAATGAATAATAATATTGAATTATCGAAATATAGCAGCAAAACTGTAGACAAAGTAATAATTTTTGTGTTGAGTGATCATTACAGTGATTTAAATTAAGAGACTCAAGATAAGATCGTTACACGATAAACAAACAGAGAACGAAAGTAATAATTTTTGTGTTGAGTGATCATTACATTGATTTAAATTAAGAGACTCAAGATAAGATCGTTACACGATAAAGAATCAGAGAACGAAAGTAATAATTTTTGTGTTGAGTGATCATTACATTGATTTAAATTGAGAGACTCAAGATAATATCGTTACACGATAAACAAACAGAGAACGAAAGTAATATTTGTATTTAAGTGTTAATTTGTTTAAAACTTGAATTATTAATATTCGTGTACCACACATAAAATGCCGCCAAATATGGCGAGTCATGAGTTGATTTGGTTCGAGAGAGAACAAGTAGCAAAACTAGAACAAAGTCATAGGTTAAAGTGTTGAGTGAAAACTACGACGTAAAAACTAGTTTCATACTGACGAGATGAGACAAAACCTAAAACTTAAATTAACGCAATCTGTTAAAGAGTTAATGATTCAAATATGATGTTTACAGAGTTAATCTGAACAAAATGAACACGTTGAAGGTAGGTTTAACTATACATAAGTCCAAGTTTGTCACATAACTCTATCACAACTGACTGCAGTTTTTAGTGAAACTAAAATGAACTTGTTAGAATGAGCTTTCGTCAAACCCCTCGTGAGAGATAAATATTATATAATACAATGTTTACATTTGCAAATGTTATAATAATATAATTTTAAGGTGATTAAACTTTTATTCTGATAAAAACGTTGTACTGCACCTAAACGTTTAATTGCAGCTTCTGTAATAATAATAAGTACCTTACTATGACGAATACGTAACTTGTCAGATCACAAGTTATGAAATTCGAGAAAAATAAAATAAAATAAAGATCTTATCACGTGTTTAACAGAAAACTAGAATAGCCGAATGTAAAACATAAATGAAAAATGGTGTCACAATGTAGAGACGTTATTGGTTCCGCGTGTTGGATCTCATATAAATATCGGAGGAACACAGCCATGATCCAACACATCACAGCAAAGAAATTGTCTTTTCAACGTTTTCTCGAAAGTTCCCAAGTTAAAATGAAGACTGCGGTAAGTTAATGTTGTATTATGTATTCCATACACATCGTGAAACTTAGTTATTTAGGGGGTTAACGTTTGTAAAATATTATGTAATATGTTCATAAATCATGTGAACGTTTATGCTGTTTCTCGTGTCTGTTCTTACATTTATTTCTCTACAGCTGCTTTCAATATGTGTCTTTTATACAATTGCTTTATTGAGGAAATGTATTAATAAATTTACTTCTAAATATTTTATTTATTTTTACAGCTGGCTTGTTTGGCTCTATTCGCTGTCCTTGCCGTTGTCTACTCTGGTTATTTGAGCTACGCACCCTACAACTATGGATATCCTTATGGAGGATACCACGGCCGTGTAGGGTACCCTTATGGCTACCGTGGTTATCCTTATGGTTACCGGGGTTATGGCTACGGTTATCCTTACCGCGGTTATGGCTATGGACATCCTCACGGTGGGTACTACGGCTATCCTTACAGAGGTTATCTTGGTTACAGATATCCCTACCGAGGCTATTATGGTGGTCACTACTGGTAAACAGTTCATAGTTTAAGGGCAGCCAGAAACTGTATTTCAAATGTTGATGTCAGAGAAACTACGTTACTTATTAAATAGCATGTTTAGAAACGAACTGTTAGATAAGAAATGTTGGATTAATATATGTAATAAAGACTAAATATATTGTTCTTTTTTTATAATAAAATAAACATTTCAAAACGGCTTTACAGTCTACTGATATCAGTTATTTCGTCTTCACTTACATTATAATAAAAGAAACATTTCAAAACGGCTTTACAGTCTACTGATATCAGTTATTTCGTCTTCACTTACAGACATGTTTAAACTTTTGTTAATCAATGAACACTAGATGATAAACTCGTATTTTTAGTACTATGTTTGTACTAAGATTATTTGACTACTTATACACTGTTCAGTAAAAACTGAACGTAGATAGGATTGAACCCTCGATCTCCCGCATAGTAAGCGCGCGTTATGCTGTATTAATAATTAGAACATTACATATATGAGAAGCGTATATGTTATACATAGATAAATCCTTTACATAATTCTGTTGTTGGTTTATGTAGTTGGACGTGAATGAAACCAAAACCTGCTAAGTATGATATGGAGTTGTGTTTAGATTTAGAGTAAATAAGTGTAAAAAGAAGGAATGGCTCTAAACGAAATATGTTTGTACAAACAATTGACATCTTTAACTAAGATCTTAAGAAGTTTTCTTAATCGAACTGGGCTTCAACGTCTTTTACTGATGTGGGATGATGTGGGCTTCAACGTCTTGTATTGATGTGGGATGCTGTGGGCTTCAACGTCTTGTACTGATGTGGGAAGCCCACAGCATCAACATCTTGTACTGATGTGGG